TCCTCCTACTGAGTTGCCTCATCCAGCCTCAGTAGGAAAGGAGGTGCCTAGTCTGCCTAGTCTTACTGCAACTTGATATGCCACAGCTGGCTGATATACAAGGAAGTCCTAGACTTTTCTGAAAGAGGAGTGGATGGGGGAGGGGGAGGGGGAGTTTGTGGGGACAGACTGTGAAGAAAAGAGGGAGAGAGAGGAAACTGTGATTGGGCTGGGAAAATAATTAATTAGTTAATAATTTTAAAAAATATACAGGCCTGTGGAGGAGAACTGAGATGATGTGTGGGGCTGATGTGTAAGGGCAGTGTAGCTCAGTGTACTGGCCTGACAGTTGTCTCTCCTCACATAGCATGTACCAAGTCACTTTAAGCTTCAGTTTTCTCCTAAGTAAAATGTATCTGAAAATAATTATGCCTAATTTAAAATTACAGGGAAAATAAATCAAACAATATGTTTGAAAAAACATTAAGTAAGCATTACTTTTTCTTACCACAACAAGAAACATTCCTATTTTACTTCGAATTTTTAAACATTTGCATACTAGTGACCAGAAGGTAGGAAAAATGGAGGAGACATTATTATCAGAAAGGGAACAAACAGGCTTATATACAGGAAACATCTTGTTTTCTGAAAAGGATTGCATAATCACATTCCTTCCACATTGTGTCACTTGCTTCCTAGTCAGGGCAGGAGCTCACTAAACCTCTCACTTTGGGACCTACTGAGGCAGGAGGGAGGAGCCAGAAGCATTATTGGAGGGAAAGAGAAAGGGTATATGCTGGAAATGCTGCGGAAGGTCTCTGCCCTCTTAGTCTGGTCTTTCTGTCCATTTGTCATTGAAAGTCTATGGCTTTCTGAAAGACACGTAAGAGTAGACAGCAGATAGCCTATTCCCCTGGAAGCATAAACCACACAATGAGTCATACTTCTTATCAGCATGGATGCAGTCAGAAGGGGATGTGTGGCTAGTAGTGGCTGGATACAGCCTCCCAGCTATTTTGGCTCTGTGGCCTGCCTGGCTGGTCTAGATTTTCCAGTAACAGAACAGAACTTTCAAAGCAAGAACATATGAAATCAATCTACTCATGAACAAAACCTGGAGAAAAGAGCTTGTCTGGTTTTAGCTTTAAGTAAACTAAAACGATTCCACTATCAGTTCCAAGGCACTTGCTGCTTCCCAGAGCCTTGCAGGCAAGTAGGGGGATGGCAATAAATTTCTTACCCTGATCCGGGACATATGTTTCTTGCAGCATATAGAAGACATAAGAAGCCTGTTTCCTCTCACCTTGCTCCAAGATCCCTCTGCCTCAGCCTCACTAACTGGAACCAATCTACCCTCATCTCACTTAACACGACTGTACAGTACAGCTGTGCTAGAGCGCGATCAGCAATTCATTCCTTTTTTTGTTGCCAAATAATATCTTACTAAGTGGATATACTGAATTTTATTTATCTGTTCCTGGTGAGTATTAAGGTTGTTTCAACTTTTGAGCTGTAATAAACAGTGCAGCTTGGGGTTGGGGATTTAGCTCAGTGGTAGAACGCTTGCCTAGCAAGCACAAGACCCTGGGTTCAGTCCTCAGCTCCGGGGGAAATAAAAAGACAGTGCAGCCAAAACACTCCTGTTTTATAGGGATGTGTTTTCTGTTTGGGGGGGGGGGGTTATATATACCTATGAGTGGAAATTCTGGGCCATATAGCAACTAAATCCAGCTATCTTAACTTCCAAACTGTTTTCTAATGTGTTTGCAGCATTTACCACCTTACCAACAATGTATGGGGAGTCCAACTGTTCTACACCTTCTATAATACTCAGCACTATCCATGTTTTGATTGCAGCTGTATGAGTGGGTGTGAAGTGGCATTGCACTGTGATTTAATTAGCATTTCCCTAATGACAATGATGCTGAGCATGTTCCAAGGCCTTATTGACCATTTGCATATATTCTCTGGAGAAAAAACTACCTAAATAATTTGCCTGTTTATAAGTTAGCATACACAGTAATGGGTTTCATTCAGTATGGCATTTCCACACCTGTGTATAATTATACTTTGTTTTTATTTACCCCCCTCCCCTAGAGCACTCCCACATCCCCTCTTGCTGGTTTCCTTATCCCTTGCAGATAGTTACACCTTCTGTTTTCATGTTGCATGTATTACATTATTGCCACTTTCTCTTTATTCCTTCCCCGCAACCTCTGACCTACACACACACACACACACACACACACACACACACACACACACACACACACAGAGTCCACATATAAAATATGTGTATTTGTCTTTCTGAGTCTGGTTTATTTTGCTTAACATGGTAAGTCCCAGTTGTATCCATTTTTTTACAAATACGATTTCATTTTTTATTATGGAGAAATAAAATTCCATAGTGTGTGTGTGTGTGTGTGTGTGTGTGTGTGTGTGTGTGTGTATTTTTATCCATTTGTTAATGGACATCTTGCCTATTTTAAAATTGGGTTATTTATCTTTTCTATAGCTGAGCTAAAAGTGTTCTTTTACATTCTAGAAAGTGATTTCAAACAATAAATCAAATGTCTTCACTCCCTGTAGGCATGTCTGACTGGTGACCAGGGTACTTGTATCCCAAGGTAGCTATGAATACAACCTAGCATATTTTTAAACAACAATTTGAAAACATTGACATCCCTATGTTGTTCTCCAATTAATTTAGAACAAAGTCCCAAACTGCCACTCTGGCTTATAAAGCAGCCCCACATGATTAGGCTGTTGCCTGCTCTACAGCACCTAGTGATACCACCTTCCCCTAAGCCTACATGCTTCTTACATTTTCATTTTGCTCATGCATGTTAGCAGCACAGTGTCAGTGGTTCTGCCTGCACGCCTGTACTCTCTTTCTCCAGACGGCTCCCTTTTATCCCTCAGGTCTCAATTTAAATAACAACTTTACAGACAAACTTTTCTGAAAATTTTTTTGAGTAAAGAAGTGGAGAGGGATCCACAAAGAAACTTTGGGAGATGATAGACATAGTCACTATTTTTATTATGGTAATGGTACCATGGATATATATTTATGTTAAAACTTTTTCAAACTATACATTTAAAATATGACCTTCTTTTTTTTTTTTTTTTTTTTTCCGAGACAGGGTTTCCCTGTGTAGTTTTGCACCTTTCCTAGAACTCACTCTGTAGTCCAGGCTGGCCTTGAACTCACAGAGATCCACCTGCCTCTGCCTCCCGAGTGCTGGGATTAAAGGCTTGCGCCACCACCACCCAAAATATGACCTTCTTTGTATGTGTTGAAGATTGAAGCCAGGACCTCACTTATGCTATGGCACATATTCTACCACTGAACTAGTGATATCTGTAACCACTGAAATGACCTTACTACTCGATTTATTATAAATATTTATGTCTGCCTCACATCACTAGGATAGAAGTGCCATGAAAGTGGGAAGTCTGTCCATTTGTGTCACTGCTGAATCCTCAGCTTGGCTTATAGCTAGGCGTTCAATAAATATTTAGTTGATTAATGAATGCATTCTATAGATGTTTAGAAAAGAAATTCTGAGACAATAGGGTAATTTTCCATTCTTTTAGATTCATTGGTAAGCTTCAGACTTAAGAGAATGGAGTTATTATTTTTGCTGCTAAGATTATCTATCTCAAAATCTCTCTTGGATATGATAAAATAGCCTACTTCCATCTTGGGCTTGAAAGTCATCTTATAGTAAAGACAAACTAAACTCATTACTGTTTATGACTAAATCTCTGTTTCTTAAGGATTGGGCTATGCCCCACCTGTAATCTTAACTAAAAATGGTCTGTATTGTCTGTTCCAGGGAAATGGCAACCATGCCTTTGATTCAGAAAGTTGTTTATAACCACTTGCAACCCTACCTTTTTTTTTTTTTTTTCCAAAAGTTGTTATGACCACCTTGCAACCATCTCTTTATTTCAGGAGGTTGTTATGACCAACTTGGTATGTTCATGTTCTGCTTCTGTAACCCTGCCTATTTGCCTGACAAATCTCTTACTCCTGAACTATGAAAATCCTTATCTTTCCAAGGTCCAATGCTGATCTCTTGAACTCTGTCTTAGGGAGAAACAGCCCATGTGCAGGAATTAAAAAAAAAAAAAAAAAAAGCTTGCTTTAATTAATTTGGCCATGCGGTCTTTCTCCTCACACCTATGGGATTAGTAGATGATCTCCACTATCATCATTAGAAGTATTATTTATGTTTCATTTAGTCTGTGGCACTACTGTAGTATGCTATATATACTCCCCCATTTGTAGTGGTTAATTTTATAGTAATAGTACTATAATAATGGTGATGTAGTACAATAATTGTCTAGTATAACATATATAATATAGTAATGATAATACAGCATATAGCTGCATTATAGAATAGCTACAGAAATACAACAGAAATTGTCTTAGAGCTTGCTATTTTCAAGACATGTGCATTTTGTCCATGTGATTTCATTTATTCCTCTCAAGAACTTTTTGAAGTAGGTATTCTTTTATAAATGGGAATTGAGGTTTACAGAGGTGAATTAACTGTTATTGAAGGGCAGAGCTAGAGCCTATTCTCAATTTCCTTATTTCAAAGGTTCTACTTTGTCCACCCTGTTGTTGTGTTTCTGAAATGTTCATCAACAGTGTTACCCAGCTCATTACACAACTCTCAAGGCTTGGGGGAGACATTTGTCCTGAGAATGACACTTCCAAACTTTGAAATGGGTTGGGGCAAAAGTAGGAGTTGCCTGAGAATACGTTGGGATATTTAGAAGAGAGAATGTTTTACTTTATCCCGAATTTCATGTCTGGCTTCATTTGATCTCACTTCTGAACTGTTACTGGTTATTCTCTGGCAGTCCTTGGTTTGTACCTAAGGAGCCAGCCCTCATTCTTCCCCTGCCTATAGTGAAGTATGCTAGTAAAGACACATTGACCACAACAGACCTGAGAGGTTTCTCTCATTGTCTGAGCTCTGGTTTCAGGGGACTGCAGGGTTCTTTACCTTTGGTGCCAGGTGGCTGCAGATTATCTCCAGTCAAAGAACACCAGCCCACAGGAAAGATGTCCCGGGAGTCAAAGCGGCACCAGTAGTCAAATGCCCCTCGCCACCCATCAAAAGTGACAAGGACCTCTGAGCCTCGAACTTCTCCAATAGTGGCTGGACAAATGAAATGAGGGTTCTTCCTGTCTACAGCTTCTAACTTCATTCCCATTCTGAAGAAGTTGTGGGAGGGTGATGGCGGCTCCTAGATGACAAACAGAAATATTCAGACCTACCTTTAATTTGTGAGGTAGCTACACAGATCAAACTTCAAATAAATGAACTGTCACTCTACTCTTTTCTCCTAGTAAATGGATACCTGGTTGGAAGTGTCCCTCTACTTTGTCATTCTTCAGCATTATTTTGAGTTGCTTTTTTCTCCATCTTTTAAATGAATTAATCAGCTTTTCAAGTTAGATAGAAAAACCTTATTTGGCCGGGCGGTGGTGGCGCACGCCTTTAATCCCAGCACTCGGAAGGCAGAGCCAGGCGGATCTCTGTGAGTTCGAGGCCAGCCTGGACTACCAAGTGAGTTCCAGGAGAGGCGCAAAGCTACACAGAGAAACCCTGTCTCGAAAAACCAAAAAAAAAAAAAAAAAAAAAAAGAAAAACCTTATTTGGATTTCAACTGCAATACATTTATAGATTGATTTGGGAAGAAATAACTTTCATTACTGATAACATTAAATCTTACCTATGAACATGATAGCCTTTTCCATTTAAAACTTCAATATAGATTATTCCTGTATAAAAAATTTGAATCTACTTTATAAATATATCATGCTTTAAATCTTTTGTTACATTTATTTATTTTGTATGTGGATATATGTGGGGTGTAATGTGCTATGGCACATATGTAGTTAAAATACAACTTATGGGAGTCGTCTTTTTCTACTATGTGGGTCCCAGGCATAAGACTAGGGTTGTGAGGCTTGTCAGTGAGCACCTTTACCCACTGAGCAACCTTGCCAGTTCCTCATGCTTTTTTACTAAACATTTTTCTTGGCATATTAATATTCCATTTTATCCATGAATGGTATTTTAAAAATTATTATCAAACTATTAATTTCTATAAAGTAGGAATAAATGATGCTTTAAAAGTTGATCAATGATACTGATATATTAATTTGTCTGCCTTATTTATCAATAACTGAGAGATACACATGGAAATATTTCCTACTGATTGCAGGTTTTCCAGTTTTGTTGTGTGTTGTAGAATGAGGCCCTCTGAGCAAAACAGCTGCCATCTTCAGAGCAGCTGCGTCTGCTTACAACAGACCAGCACTAGCAGCCTGGTGATGTTCCCTCAGAGAAGGAGGACAGAGGAAGGGTCAAGTCCAGAGATCTGGCTGCTCTCTCCTGTAGTCCCCAGTCATTTGCATGCAATTCTGCCATAACTGCACACAGTCTTAGGGTCAGTGAGGTACTAGAGTATAGGTTGGAGAAGGTTATGTGGAGAGAGACACTCTACCTACTTACGTAGCTATGGGAAAGCCATCATCCATGCTGGATGAAGAAGACTTTCCAGTGCAGCTGCCGTGAGGTCACTTCCATTCCTGTAAGTAACCTTTCACTGTGCTCTGGAAGTATGCCCAATTAACCCACTGAATTCCTAGGATGAACTTTGCTTTGTCATTGGGCCTTATAAGGAGATGCTAGACAGTACTTACATCTTCCTAGGGCAAGAATTCCCACATCTCCACTGATTATCACTCTCTTCTTCATGTACTCTGAGGCTATTTTTATGAAGCACGTGTACTATGACTGTTTTGTTTTCTTGGTGAACTGTACTTTTTAATCATCACCTAGTGACTTCTTTTAATGCTTTTTAGTATTAACATCTCTGTCTGAATTAAGTATACTTTATATCAGTTTTATCTTGATAAAGTTTGTCTGGTACTATCTTTTATGTTCTCTCTCTCTCTCTCTCTCTCTCTCTCTCTCTCTCTCTCTCTCTGGGTGTGTGTGTACTTAATATAGGATTTTACTATGTATCCATGGCTTGCCTGGAGCTTGCTATATAGATTAGGCTGTCTTTGAATGCATAGAGATCCACCTGCCTCTGCCTCTGCCTCCTAGAATTAAAGGCTAGAATTAAAGGCATGTGCCACCTGTCTGGTAGCTACTATCAATATTTTTATGTTATTACATTTAAGTAGTGTCTGTTACAAATGGTATGTTGCAATTAAAAAAATTCTCATGATAACCAGGGTATCAGAATATTTATTTATTTATTTATTTATTTATTTATTTATTTATTTATTTATTTTTGTTTTTCGAGACAGGGTTTCTCTGTGTAGCTTTGGAGCCTTTCCTGGAACTCGCTTTGGAAACCAGGTTGGCCTCGAACTCACAGAGATCCGCCTGCCCCTGCCTCTGCCTCCCGAGTGCTGGGATTAAAGGCGTGCGCCACCAACCGCCCTGCTACTTATTTATTTTTTGAGAGGAGGTCTTCATATGTTTCCCAAATTTGACCCAAATGCCTGGGTTTAAGTGATTTTCCCATTTCAGCCTCCTGAAAACTTGAACTGCATACAAGTAGGTGCCACTAAGTCCGTTTGTTTGCCTGTTTGTCTGTCTGTCTATTTATTCTTTTTTGTTTTTTGAGACAGGGTTTCTCTGTGTAGCCCTGGCTGTCCTAGAACTAGCTCTGTAGACCAGGCTGGCCTCGAACTCACAGAGATCCGCCTGCCTCTGCCTCCCGAGTGCTGGGATTAAAGGCGTGTACCACCACCACCACCTGGCTATATTTATTACAGATACCTTACTGTCTATGTTTCTATTTATTTTAAGGTTCTTTTGTGTTTTAAAATTAACTAAATTTCCCTTATTTTCCCTGCACTTACTGAGAAGTTAAACATTCTATTTATAACTGTTTGGTGAATCTCTTAAGATTATAACTTAGTACCTTAAACATCTTTATTAAAATTTCTCCCTCTTTTCTCCTTTACTGACTCAGAAGTTATTTTGTGGATTCTGTTAAGAATTTAACTGTATAGATAACAAAATGTAAACCATCTTTATTTATAGTCCTAGATAATGGAAGAACTTTAAACTACTCCTGGGTTATACTGATATAAGTAATTAATTCCTACATTGCTTTTACTCCTGATTAACAACTTTGTTATTATAGAATATATAGTTATCTATATATTTTTTTTTTTTTTGTTTTTCGAGACAGGGTTTCTCTGTGTAGCTTTGCGCCTTTCCTGGAACTCACTTGGTAGCCCAGGCTGGCCTCGAACTCACAGAGATCCGCCTGGCTCTGCCTCCCGAGTGCTGGGATTAAAGGCATGCGCCACCACCGCCCGGCCTAGTTATCTATATTTTAACAAATCCATTTCCTCACCAATTCTTCCTTCATCTCATTCTTACTTTTTGGTTCAATTGCTTTCTTTCTGAAACATACTCAATGGCTATGCTAGGCTCTACCTGCACTGGTTTGTTTGATAGTCTGATTTTCACCTCCATTCTGAAATGGCAGTGTAGTTGGATGTCAACTCCATGGTAGATGACTTAGTACTTTGAAACACAGTCTAATGCCTTTTGCTTGAACTGTTGCTGTGGAGAAATGTGCTGCAGCTAACATAACCCTTAGAAAGGCATCCTGCTGATTACTTGCTCAGATCTTCTGTTTTGACCTTAGTTTCCTACAGTTATATTGCTTTATTCTTATAATGTATATTTGCTTTGATTATACATGCTGGAAAACTTAGGATCTTTTCAAATACTCTCCCTTTTTACTCTTTTTAATTAGTCTTCCTGAGTTTCATGATCTCCATGTATGAAGTCTCCTTATTTTTTCCTTGTTTTTTCTCCTTAGTATGTATTTCCATTTCTCTATTTCTCATTTTATAGTTGAGGGGTAAACTCCTTATATATTATATATTTTGATGGATTTTTTTACAGTACATATGTGCTATTAATCTTTAGTATTAAAGGTTTAAAATTCATCAGTTTTATTTTCAGATATTCAATTTGGTCCTTTTGAAAATGTGGCATTTAAAATGGTGTTCTGAGCCAGTGAGATGGCTCAGTGGTTAAAGACACTTGCTGACAAGCCTGATAACTCAAGTCCTATCTGCAACCCGAGTTTCAACCCCAGGACCCAAGAGTGGAGGAGAGAATCCACTCCTATAAGCTGTCCTTTGACCTCCATATATGTATTCTATGGCATGTACCCCTCCTCACAATATAAGTATGCAAATATAAATTAAAAAACAAATGTTGTTTTGTATTTCTTATAGTTCTTCAGGCATTTTCAAATACTTAGGTTCTAGTCTGTAACTGATATTTGTATTGTCTAAAAGTACTTGGGGTGTGTGATATTTGCTATGTCTCTATCATGTGAAGTCCCTAGACTTCAACCACAAGGGAGAAGACAATTTAATCAGAGATGGCTGCACCCCACTCCTTCCCAGAGTCTCTTCCTTAGAAATGTCACCTTTTTCACTAAGGGCTAAAAATTTAAGGGATGATTTTAGGATGCAGCCAGGCTCTAAGATGTACTTTCTTCCTTGATGGGCCCAAACCTCATCTTGTGTTTTATCAAGATTCTATAAAGATTGGCAGAGCCCCCCAAGACAGCTATGCACTTAGCACATATGTTTAACATTGTTGTTTTTCTTACTTTCTAGTAAGCTCCACAAAGCATGGAAGAGAGTATAATGACCCTTCCCCCACATACCCACCTCACAGTTCGAGATATTTCTCATTGAAAGAGATTTCAAGTAGCCCAATATATTATATTTGGAAACCAGAATGTTCTCATGATTTATATTTGACTAGCAGCACAGGCAAACCTAACTCAGTCATTTCTACAGTAGCTCTCACCCCACTGGAGAAGTTAACTACCAGCAGGCTGACATTCTCCCCTCTTGAGGCACAGAAAAAATAAACACAGGTTCCCCATCCCTGTTCTGTCCCTTACTGGCTATGGGACTGTTAGCAAATTCCTTACTCAGAAGCATGCTTTCTTGGGGCTGGAGAGCTGGCTCAGCAGGTAAGAGCACTCACAGGCTACTCTTGCAGAGGACCCAAGTTTGGCTCCCACACCCATATGGTGGTTCACAACCATCCTTAACTCCTATTCCAGGGAATCTGACATCCTCTTCTGGCCTTCACAGGCACTAGGCATGCATGTGGCACAAATATATTAATACAGGCAAAACACCCATACACATAAATAAATAAATAAATAAATAAATAAATAAATAAATAAATAAATAAATGCAACTAAAAACTTTAAAAGTATGCTTCCTTAATGATTAAGTGAGTTGAATAATTCCTAGTAGATATAAGCCAGATGTGGGTATTAAATGTGATAATATATATAAGGCTACAAACATATTATAGATAATTAAATAACATTTTTACCTATTTTAGAACACAGACTACAGAACTCTGTAAGAATTACTCCTTTAGGTTTGTACTATATTTCGAGGTTCTAATAAACACATTTTAATTTCTTAACAACCCTGTTAGGCAGACAGAGTTCACTCTGCAGATAAAGTCAGAAAAGATCTTATGAGATTAGCTTGTTATTGGCAGCTAGGATCCCCAAACCAGAAATCCTATCTCATTCTTTTTTTTCCCCCTTGGTTTTTTGAGTCAGGGTTTCCCTGTGTAGCTTTGGAGCCTATCCTGGAACTCACTCTGTAGCCCAGGCTGGCCTCGAACTCACAGAGATCCACCTTCCTCTGCTTCCTGAGTGCTGGGATTAAAGGTATTTGCCACCACCGCCCGGCGTGTCTCATTCTTATAGTCTAATACAATTCTCTGAAGATAACATCTGCTTCATAGACTTAAATCTTCTACTGAACTAGTTTCTGAGAAGCAGCTTCAGGCCACAGAAATAAAGGAGGCGGCAGAGGCTCAGTAATTGATAGAAGGCAAGTATTTGATTATTTTTTTCCTTTCTTTTTTGGTTTTTGTTTTTCAAGACAGGGGTTCTCCGTGTAGCCCTGGCTATCCTGGAACTTCATCTATAGACCAGGCTGACCTCCAACTCAGAGATATATCTGCCTCTGCTTCCTGAATGCTGCACTGCCTGGCTAATTGATTTTAAGAAGCTTGCAGATCATGATAGCTGAGGGACAGTATACCTTATGGAAAATCTTGATGGGAGCCATCTCTGCTCCATTTAGTGTCTTCAAAAGGAACATGGGCCAAGAAGAGGCATTCAGCCGAAATCCTGCAGTAAATATAATGGAGAACAGGTTAAAAAAAATGTTCCCAAAGGGCAAGGTGAGAGCAAGTTCTCCCTCTGGAATCCAGCTACTCCTGCCATATCTATGCTATGACAGTCACAGGATCCTAGACCCTAGAAAAGGGCTTAAAAACTGGACAAGAGAAATGCTCATTAGACAGATGAACGAAAGGAGGCCCATTGGAGGGAATGTAAATTGATCCTAGTAATTCAGCAAATAGGTGGTGCAGCAGGTTCTCCAAACCAATGTTTTGACTCTAAGACAAATATTAGCACAATTCCTCAAACACTTTCCTAAATAAATCCAAGACAGATATAAGATAGGATGAACAGATACTTGGAAATGATCTAAACAGTAGACTATAAAATTGGATTTAACAGTCTCTTAAAAAAAAGTTGATTAAGTCAGTTTGTAAGTCTAACACAAGTAAGTCAATCACTGTAAATTAACACACTATTTTCCCATGGTTCTCTGAAGACAGTCACACCATGCACACATACCTTTTTACTTCCTTGTCTTCTTAAATAACTAAGAAAAATGAATAATGAGACTGAAGATCATTCTATCCCAAATTATTCATTTTCCCAAAAAGTAAGAAGCCTAAAAATGTAATTGTCCATTGAAATTCACAAAGTCAATGAGAATGTGCCATTTAATTAGTGTGTTGTAAAAATTAAGATCATTATTAAACTTGGTCTTGTGATTTGATCTCCAAGGCCTCCTTTCAATTTGACTTCAACTCCCTATCCTGAAATGGTTTTGAAACTGTCTCCCGACCTTGGCCTTCTCATCATAGTCAGAGGACAGTCTATGCCAATGCTGACCATATGGAACTAACTGTAGGTGAATTTCTACACAGTCTTATTAAATAAGAAACACAGAGCCAAATACAAGGGTAATAGCCTAAGAGATCAGAAAAATAGCGAATAGCCATGGCTAGCCTTAGCCTACCACCTCGATGTCCTTCCCCAGAGAGCTTCTTCCTGTCTAACCTGCCTTTATTGCCTTCCTGTTCTGCCTTCTCATTGCCTCTAAGCCCAGCCACATCACTTCCTTGTCACTGCCTGTCTATACAGACCTCCAGGTCTCTATGGTTGGTACTGGGATTAAGGGTGCGTGTCACCACGCTTGGCTGTGTCCTTGACCACACAGAGACTCTGCCTGCCATGTGATTGGATTAAGGGCATGTGCTACCACCGCCTGACTTCTGTTTATGGCTCGCTATGTGACCTCTGATCTCCAGGCAAACTTTATTAACATATAAATAAAATCACATTTCAGCACAAATAAAATATCACCACATTTCCCCCTTTTATTCTAATAAAAAGAAAAAAGAAAAAAGTTATAACTAATACAAGAAAAACTATATACAATAAGTACAATAACTATATACAATATATACAAGCAATAAATACATCAACAATGTCTAGCCCATTTGCATTTGACAAACTCAGGGAAAATATTCCATTATCTATCCTATTTTGGTAAGTAATGTACCTGATTCCCTTTTTGTCCTAACTTATATTATTAACAGAGAACTACCTTATAATGTATAGGCGGGACAAGCAGAGAAGACAATTCTGGGAACAGGAAGGCTAAATGAGGAGATACTGCCAGCCACCACCAGGAGAATCAAGATGTAAAGATACTGGTAATCCATGAGCCACGTGGTAAGGTATAGACTTATAAAAATGGGTTAATTTAAGATGTAAGAGCTAGTCAATAGTTAGCCTGAGCTAATGGCTGAGCAATTTTAATTAATATGAGCTTCTGAGTGATTATTTTATAAGTGGGCTACAGAACTGCAGGGGCTTGGCAGACCTGGAGAGAAACTTTCCAGCTACAACTAACAACAGAAAGTGCAGCTGAGTGTGAAGCTCTGTGCCAATGACTTCCCACTGACTTCTGAATCTCTAGGACAGCTTAGATATTATCTTCATTTTATAGACAAGGAAGGAGGCAATAGTAAATTACTGAAGGTTTCCAAATGTGCAAATGACACAATCCAAGTAAGCAGCCTGAGATCTTAGCCTTCACCTTTACCCACTACATTGAAATTAATATGCAAGTAAAAATGAAAAATCACCTTTTGGAATTGGCACTAAAAACTACAGTTAAATTCAGGAGAAGAAGAAAAGAAAATGAAAGTTAAGAATATGATTTACATTTTCTGTCCCAATCTGACTCTGCTAAGTCAACCTTCCTAAGATGAAGTAGGTTCTTGGGAGAGCTCATCCCTATCAAAAATAGCAATAACAAGGTGAGCATTTTATTACTTAATCTAAGACTGTCATCGCTTAACTTTTTTGCTTGCTTAGCCTCTTTTCTCTTTTGAAAAACAAGAACAATACTCTTAAGTCCCCATGATTTGGTGGGGATCTCAATCAGGTTGCCCTACCTACCTGGCCACAGGGTGGAAAATAATGTCATGTTTGAGCATCAGACTCCTTTGGATAAAAATTGTATGTGTAATTGTGGGCCAATTATCTTGTAGCATTACAAGTATACTAAAAAGGGTCATCGCTGTAAGAATATGTATAAACTCAGCATTGCTGCATGGAAACATACCCAAATAAGAACAAAGTAGGCCTCTTAAGACACAATACCAGAGGAGGGCGGTGGTGGCACAATGCCTTCAATCCCAGCACTTGGGAGGCAGAGCCAGGCGGATCTCTGTGGGTTCGAGGCCCATCTGGGCTACAGAGTGAGATCCAGGACAGGCGCAAAGCTACACAGAGAAACCCTGTCTCGAAAAACCAAAAATACCCCAAACAAACAAACAAACAAACAAACAAACAAACAAAACAAAACAAAACAAAGGACACAATACCAGATCATTTCTTGACCTTCTTGGTTGTAGGACTAAATAATTCTTGCCTCCTTCCTTTTTTCCCTTCTCTAATCTGGCTTGAGCTAGGCTTTTGATCATAATTTGTTGTTTGTTTTGTTTTTTAAATCAAAGTCCTCAAGAAATTCAAGAGACTGGTGTGTGTGTGTGTGTGTGTGTGTGTGTGTGTGTGTGTGTGTGTGTGTGTGTAAAAGACAGAGAGCATGAAGGCATACCCAATTAGATGCCTGAACAATTAATAAATTCAGTTTTCATGCCCTCAGTTTCTAATGACTAAAGGGTCCAGTCAGGTAATTCAACTTCACTTTTAAAGAAAGGGTCACTGAGAGTTTTCCATTTTATTTGGAACTCGAGGAGCTAAAAAATCCTTTCAGCCATATACCATATAAGGGCATCAGCACAACAGCCAATGTGTACTGAATGTATTATCCACTTTACGTGCCATTTCTTACTTAACATTTGAAATGATACAATGAAGAAGACACAATTACCTGGTTTAAAGAAGATGAAATGGAGATACAGTGGTAGGTTGTCCAATGTCACATTAGTGTGGTGAGGACAGATTTCAATATGTGATGGTTTAGCTCTAAATCTTACAGTTCTTTGTTTATTACCTCATAACAAGCATCTTGAGGAGCAGAAGGGCAAGATACACAGGTTAGCAAGGCAATACTAAAGAGTCTTAGTCCATGTCTTCCAAGGTGATGTGGGTCTCTTTCTCCATCCAAATTTAAGAGAATAGGTAATTTATTTTAATATTCTTGGAAGGCATAGATCTGAGTTTTATACTGAAAAGGAGCTTGGAGGTGAACTACTCAAAGATTTCACATTGCAAAAGACAAAGCTAACGTAAAGAGAAGGCAAGAAACTCTTCATGGCCACTCAAGCTACTCTTGTAGTCACGCTGGCATCCTGGGACTTATTTTAATGTGTGTTTATGTGTGTGTGTGTGTGTGTGTGTGTGTGTGTGTGTGTGTGTGTGTGTGTGTGTGTGTGTGTGTGTAGGTGCATGTAAACATGGAAGCTTCATGTGCATTTGGAGGCTGGAATCACTTCTCCACCTTATTTTTGACTCAGGAACTTTTGAACCTGGAGCTCACTAATTGGATGTATTGTTTGTTCAGGAAGCTCCATGGATCTCCCTGTCTCATCTCTCTCCTTAACCTACTAGGCTATCTCCAAAAGTTAGTATTTATTACATATGCATGTGTAGGCTCCACTGAACTACTAAGCACTTTACGTGAGTTACTCACTCTTTAATTCCAGACAGAGGTCTGAATCAGATACTAGAAAACGGGCACTGCTTCCGGAGCCAGATGGCCTAGTTAAGGGCCAGCTGCTGTTTTCCAGGTGTATAATGTTTCCCAAAGTAAAAAACCTCTTTAAGCTTCAGTTTCCTTAACAAAGTGGGATACAGATAGGAATCATCTCAATGGGTTGTTTTATGGATTAAGTTAATATATGAAAAGGACATAAAACAGTGCCTGGCATATAGTAGCAAATAAATTATTACTATTATTTTTAATTACTAATGATGAAGACTAAGGCTTAGAGAAACTGGGTAAAATACCCAAGGTTAGTTAAGTAGTAAACAGTAAAGCCAGGATACCAACCCCGCCCCCTTCTGTTCCAGAGGCTCCATTACCAGCCATCACATTAATATCGTCAATGATTTCATCACAGTCCTACAACATTGTCTTAGTTAGGGTTACTATTACTGTGATAAAACACCATGACCAAAAACAGCTTGGGGAAGAAAAGATTTATTCTAGCTTACAACTCTCAGGTCACAGTCCATCATCAAAGGAAGTTAGGCAGGAACTCAAGGCAGAAACCTAGAGGCAGGAACTGAAGCAGAGGCCAAGGAGGAGTGCTGTTTACTGACCTGCACCCTGTGGCTTATTCAGCTTGCTTGCCTGGGCATCCAGGACCACCTGCCCAGAGGTGGCACCATCCATGGTGAGATGGACCCTCCCAATTCAAACATCAATTAACAAAATGCACCACAGGCTTGCCCACAGGCCAGTCTGGTGGGAGCATTGTCTCAATTGATGTTCTCTCTTTCCAAATGACTCTAGCTTGTGTCAAGCTGACATAAAAACTAGCCAGTACACATATGTAACTTGGTAAGAAGAA